TACTACAACATCATTGCCGATGACGAGAGGAAAACTGTAGCATTTAGATTAAATGAAAACACGACGTACACTCCGGAAGAACTACTCGCACAGATATTACACAAAGGCAAAGAGATCGCAGAAGCTTCCGCTCATCAGAAGATCAATGAAGCCGTTATCACCGTGCCGGGATTCTTCAATCAGGCTGAAAGGAAGGCACTGATTCAAGCGGCGGAACTCGCCGGTTTGAAAGTGTTACAGCTCATAAATGATTACATGGCAGTAGCTTTAAATTATGGCGTATTCGGTAGAACTGAAATAAACGATTCTGCTCATTACATTATGTTTTATGACATGGGAGCTAGCAGCACTACTGCGACAGTAGTCAGCTACCAAAACGTAAAAACGAAAGAGAGAGGTTTCGTCGAGACTAACCCTCATGTTACTGTATTGGGTGTGGGATATGATCGCACGCTTGGGGGATTAGAAATGCAAATCAGATTACAGCATTATTTAGCACAAGAGTTTGACGCTCTTAAAAAAACGCCAAACTCTGTATTCAAGAATCCGAGAGCGATGGCAAAGCTTTTTAAGGAAGCTGGACGCGTCAAAACTGTACTTAGTGCCAACGCAGATCACTTTGCCCAGATAGAAAGTTTAATAGACGATATTGACTTCAAGTTGCAAGTCTCGAGAGAGAAGCTGGAAGAGATATGCGCTGATTTATTTGAACGTGTAGCGAATCCTGTGAAGGTTGCATTGGAAACTTCAGGTGACTTATCTTTTGAAAGAAGACTATCATGTTTCTTGCAAATATGTACTTAAACACTAAATGTATTTATGTGAAATTATTTTAGGTTTAACAATGGATATCATATCGCATGTTGTATTGGTGGGAGCAGGTACTCGTATGCCAAAGGTACAAGAGACATTGTCTCAATATGTAAACACAGAACTATCGAAAAATGTAAATACGGATGAAGCAGCTGCTTTAGGAGCTGCGTATAAAGCAGCTGATCTTAGTCAGGGTTTCAAGGTCAAGAAGTTTGTCACGAAAGATGCTTTATTGTTTCCTATTCAAATCACATTTGATAGAACTGTTGATAATAAAGTTAGACAGGTAAAAGATTATTATATGATGTTTAACTTTCTTTGATATATTTTAATTCTTTGTATATATATATATATATATATATATATATATATATATATATATA